TGTTGAGAATGGAGGACTCGACTCACATCCTTGGAACTCCAGGATGACGTCCCCGTCCATGTACCAGTAATGGCATTTATCGAACTGCTTAAGGTCCTTGCACGCTGTGACTATTGAGAATAATCAGGACCGCAGGAATCATGTACCAGATTCAGAGTGTACCACTCACCGGGATCACTCAGGGGTTCCTGGGCGATCGCCTGTCCGGCGAAGAAGAGGGCGACAGAGAGCGCAGTGACGAGAGACTTGTTGAGGATCATTGCTCTAATCAAATGTTATGGAGTAGGACTACGAGATGGGCTTCTTATAACGAGAAAAAAGACGCCCATGAACAGCCCTGGTCGGCACAACCCTATCTTGGCCACCCCGCCGGGGTATGGTCTCGGGAGTTAGTTCTATTAGTATCCAGCATGCCGCGACAACCGTTCTACTTGGTTGGGGTCAAAGCAATATGAAGAATATGGAGCAATGCTTACATACTGGGCCGCCCCTGCTTTGACATTTATCGACCGGGCGTTTCAGTCCCCGTAAGTATGAGTACTTGGAGGTTCCAGAGGGTTCCAGATGCAATTTCATTCTAGTACGTGGAATGCGCTCAACCGTCACGGAATGTGTTTCACTCCGTCACCAAAGAATCGTTTCTTGAATTATTGGCTATCATTCGTGAATAACATTTCAGACTTCATCATGTACAAGAGATGTTTATTATTCAAATGAAACTCCGATGGGAGGAATGGAGCGTACGTATCAGTACGTTTCTATAGGGCCAACGACTAGTCTTGCTCCACTAATTTGGTTGTTCTGAAGTTTCATATAACGCATGTAACCCAGATCAGCCGTCAGCGCTTCAGCCTCATCATTATCATTCATGTGAATCAAAGACGCGAAACTAACCTAGTCGACCGACAGAGCTCGATCCTCCGAGAATTATGATAGGTTCACCAGCTTTCATTCCTTTAGCACCTTCTTCCAAGAACGGCTTGAGCCCCGCTCCTGCTTTGCCGTTCAGAAAGGATATGCTCTCTCCACCGACAGCTTCGTTCATCGATGGGACAGCAGGATCAGGCAAGCAGAAAGCAAATGCCAACGTGACGAGCGCTAATGGGATCGATGCTATTTTCAATGTGGAAATTGTCGAGGGCAGCTGTTCAACGCGTACTGATGAGAGTCGATGAGACAAAACAAGGACGAAACACTCACTGTGGCGATAGTCTTCTCAAGAGCAAGTGCGTACTGTTGATGAGAGCTGTATTTGGGAGACACGATTCTTGTAGGAGCCTGGAAGGGTGGTGTCAAGATACTTTATGAGATTGTCGAATGAGTCGTGCAAACACTCGATCGCCCTTCTTTAACGCCTGAGCCTCGTCCTAACCTTCTTAACCACTCCTGCTCCGTCCACTCCAATGTAGGCGGGGTAGCCCATCGCATCTGGGATTTGAGTATGAACGATAACCAGCCAATCCATCGGGTTCAGAGCAGCACCTTCCAGCTTGACCAGAATCTCGTGAGGACCGGAAGATGAGATCGGTTTGGAGATGATCGCGTAGGGAGAAGACGAAGATGGGATAGTGACTGCGTTGAACACCCGCGTCATTGAATTCCTCAGCGGTCAGCAGTGGACGATTGGCTGACGAGACAAACGGGTCTCTTTATCAGCTCTTATGTTGGGACTCTGCTCTTAAAAATATAATATATCAATGACGAGCGGGTAGAGGCGGGGGTGGGCACCTGTGGGCGCAACTTGCAAGGAGCAACGGCGTGACGAGCATGCACCGTGACATTAGACGTCACCCCTCGTTACCCGCACGCGTCGTCGGAGTTCGAATATTCAGACCCCTTCCTCCCACTGTGACTGTGTCCATGACAATATTGTTCTTCTTCCGCCCTACCCATCGCCCACCTAGCTTGATTGGATGGAGCTTCCGATACGGGTACATCTGGAGGCTGCGAGTTTGATCTTCGTAGCGGGCTGTTGAAGGTGTGATCACCCCGCGCATCCTATCACGTTTAGTATTAGATGTTATTGCCTTGGGCATTTTCGGCTTATCGACTCCCCGAATCCAGGTGTGAACCCCCAGCATTGGCTGTGGACTGCCAAAAGTATGCTCCCGAAGAAAACGGGCTCCAAGCTCTTTACCAGCCCAAAACCCCTTTCACATCCTTTCACATCTGAATAGGGTCCCGGTCGTTTGGAACGAATCTCAAATCTAAAACCGTTGTACAAGTACAAGGCGAGCTAGTTTTATGTATGCAGGCTCACTCTTGCTGGCGTAGAGGCCATTCTGACTCCGAGGTGTGACTGTGTGGTCAAGCTCCGTTCTGTCCTTTTGAATTCTTGGGTTTCTCCAGGTGATTGTAGCCATCATTCAGCGACACTGCCCCTCCCGAAGTCAATGGTGACCAAGGGCGACTAGCTATTCAACTTGCTTCCGCGTTAGCTTGACACCATTCACCTCTGACAACATATCAAGGCTTTTGGGACCGAACCTTTTGATGCCCGTGTTAAATTCAACCACTTTCATGCCGACACATTCTGGGCTCAGACGCTAACAACCAACGGCTCCCGGGATTTGAGATACATTAAACATCCTGTGTATGGTTAACCCACTACGCCTTTGATCCCCTTGTGGCTTCAGCCTGAAGTGGTACTTACGCCCGTGAATGTAGGCTGAAACATCGGAGTACGGGCAGCAGGGCGTTCACGACGAAGGCGTTCAACTTCATCCGTAAAATTCGCGAAGTTATACACTTCGTCGCCACCTTTTGAGTGGTATAAAAGGTACGTAGGTTGTTCGGACGTATCCTAAGCTACTTTGATCTCTCATCTGCAAGCTACAAACCTCATCGTGCTATGATCTCTTCTACTTTCCTTCTCATTGCCGTTTCTCTGCTCTCGTCTACTTCCAATGCCGTGTCTGTGAAGCGGGCAATCACTCCTCTTCCTGCCAACGGGAAGTGGGACTATCAGATTGGAGGAGCGTACGAGCCCGACAGCGATGTGCGCGTCGTCACTCGGGATCGTACTTCGACGCCAGTTTCCGGGAAATACAACATTTGCTACGTCAATGCGTTCCAGTCGCAACCGGATCAAGCGTCGCATGACTTTTGGCTCAATGGTACGTTTGTTCGATTGTCCTCCTCAGTCTCCGTACTGAATAAGCTCGAACTTGCTAGACCCCACGAGGAACAACCTCATCCTCAAGAACTCCGCTGGTCAGCCCTACGAAGATGATGGGTGGCCAGGCGAATACTATTTCGACACCAGGACGGCTGACAAACGGCAGGCACTAGCCAATATTGTCAATGGATGGATTGACGAGTGTAAACAGAAAGGTTTCAACGCCATCGAGCCCGACAACCTGGACACATTCACTCGCTCGGACGACCTCCTCTCCGAGGACAACAACCTAGACTACGCCAAACTTCTCGCTGATCACGCACATGCTACCGGAGTCGAGCTGGCCTTTGGTCAGAAGAACACCGGTGGCGAGTTGGAGGATAGAGGAAAGGCGAGAGTTGGTTTCGATTTTGCCATAGCGGAGGAATGCCAGGCGTTCAAAGAGTGTGATTCCTACACCGACGTGTATGGAGACCAGGTCCTTGAGGTCGAGTACTTCAATTCCTCGCTTCCGGACAACAATCGAGGAAACTTCACGGCGGCCTGTACTGCGCGTGGAAGTCGAATCTCGGTGATCTTCAGGGATGTTTTCGTCGTCCCGAGAGGATCCTCGGGATATGTGTACGAAGAGTGCTAATTCATTTGTAGGCAATGCTACCAGGAACCTGTATGATTAGTGGGGTAATCGAAAGAGATGATTTATGAAGTGATAAAGCGTGATCACCAGTCAAAACCTTCACGGGAAACCCACAGCTGGCGCCTAGTAAGGCGTAAGGGCTTCCGAGTCCAGAGATTTCCGAGTCCAATTATGCCGAGAGGCACTTCATTGAACACACGCATTCCCGCAAGTTCCTGGTCTCGTAACTTTGTTAAAGATTCGAATTGGCCAGTTCATTTCCCGCGTATTCCGGCTGCCCCAAATCGACCTTCCCGCCCAGTTCCCGCCCCTAAGAGACCCTCCATATTTACGCGAAGCCGCCCGGCTGAGCTAGGGGTAATTGGAACGGGATCTGTGGCACTATGGGACGTTGGGCAGGTATCATCTCATCGACAACGGGACGCTCTTGCTTGGCTCAACGTACTCATCTGACCCTGATTCGGAGACAAGGAATGTGTATAAAAGGGACGTCGACGGCGAGGGACACGAACTTATACATCTCAATCATGAAATCATTCGCCCCTATCTTCGTTCTCATTGCGCTGGTAGCCGCTCAGAGCCCTCGTAAGTTTCAGTCGTTATCCCCAAAGTCCGAGCACGACTGACCTGACCTATCGTTCCAGCTCAAATCGCAAAGAGCGCGTGCAAGGGCAAATATGAGGGAGATAAATGTACCTACAAGGTAGAAGGACTCCCAACCGCCCACGGAAGTGAGTAAAAAGTTGTCTTTTCGAGGGACTGATGCTTATATCGAGTCGATTTATCTAGCTTGCCAGGTCCAGCCCGTTCCAGGCGGGGAGCTGTGTTGCTTCTCCACGTCACCGAACTTTTGTTACAGATAGTCGTAGCCTTGAGTTCGGTCTCCTCTATGATGGATATATGTTCAACGGTTCAACATGTCGTATCATGATTATCTTCTTGGGAGGAAACCTCAACCAACGTACAGAGATACAATATCTACCGGATCCAGTATGACTCATCTGCTCCAGTGGATTTTCTGGTCTTGGAGCTTGTTTAGAGCTTCGAGGGATCTTCCGTATATTTCACCCGACTCAGCCATGAGGTCCCTTGCCGGCAGCCCTGTGCTTCATCCGCGTCGCGTTTGATGAAGACCGCTCAGATTTCTTTTCTTTCAGTCTTCATCCAGCAACTACAAACTCATCTTATCTCCTCTATCATTGAGTGGCGGCTGTCGACAACGTCGCCATTGCCTCTCGACGTATTGCCCGCCTAGCTCAATCGGATAGAGCGTCAGACTCTTAGTTGCGGGTATCTGAAGGCTGCGAGTTCGACCCTCGCGGTGGGCTATAGTCGTCGTGGTCGCAAATTTTGTACTCGATGCAAACCGAGTTTTCTCACAACCACTGTTTTTCAGAGTCGCGCCGGTTCTCCCATCTCACGAAATCTCTTGCTATGGGCATTGGATCAGCACATAGAAACTCATCGTTCATTACTTGCAGATATCTCGAATATTATTCTGTCGACTTCGACTCAATCATGCAACTCGAACACCCTTCCTTAGGTCGTCTCGGGAGGTCGCGACTATTGTGGGTTGGCACATCTCAACGGCACGTTGTGGTTATTATCGATCTGAATGCAGTCTGCGATCATGTCATGTTGCAAGTTAGTCTTCATTTTTATTTTGAAAGCGAAGGATCCGACTCACGTCCATCGAACTCCCTGACGACGTCTCCATCGAGGTAGAGGTAGTGGCATTTATCGCCCTCCTTGAGACCCTTGCACGCCGTTACTATCGAGGATGATGAGAACGTGAATGATAGAGCCACAATCCCAGAGTCCACTCACTCGGGTCACTGATCTTTTCCTGAGCAGTGGCCTGACCGGCGAAGAAGAGGGCGACAGAGAGAGCAGCGACCAGAGAAGACTTGGTGAAAAACATTGCTTCGACCGAGGGTTATTAGAATGAGACCACAAATCGAGCTCCTTATAACGAAAAAGAGGGACGCCTAAGAATAGCCTTGGTCGGTAAAACCTGTCCTGGCCGCCCTAGCGGGAGCGGGTCTCGGAAGCTAGTGCTATTAGTATTCAGCATCCCGCGACAAGCGTTCTACTTAGGCGGTGCAGGTAATGCTAGGAATATGGAGTGGTGCTTGCAAAGGGGTCTGCCCCTGCCATACCCCTGCCCACATATTCATCGGCAGGGGAAATTGAACCTCCGTATGAAACGGTGGGATTTAAAGAATGGACTGGATGTAGCTATATGGACGATTACATGTGTAGTTTGCCTACTTGTTCGTACCGACACTTAGCACTGGAAATTTGGAGTTCTGGCTGCTCTCGTTGATCATGCACCCGTCCTGTTGAGTAGACGCTCGTGTCACCACTACGGCTTCCTTGGCTCAGTTGGCTAGAGCGCAGGTCTCATACATAAAAGTATGCAACTCTACGAGGGTCCTGATCCTGAGGTCGCAAGTTCGAGCCTTGCAGGGAGCAGTGATGTTGGCGTTTAATGCAACTTTTTTCGCGACCTTTCCTATTCCACGTTACCGATATCAAATAATATACTCGGAGTGTGTATGAACCATCCGTTGAGTCTCGTTATTCGTCTTAGTATCATCCCAAAGAACCTTCCAAGTTCCGGTACGATTGCTTCTTGTAATCCACGGAATCCGAGCTCGAGTAGAGGAAGATTGGCTCAATCACCAAGCGCGCATTATGCTACTCATTTATCTCACTTCGAATCTTTGGGGCGCAAGTCTCATAAAGTACTTACAGGCTTCGCTTCCTCAGAGATCGCAAGGTTGCTACAGATCTCACTTACTGTAAGCCTGAACATTGGAAACTTATGGTGTGAAACGGAAAGAATTACAGGTGTAAAGGGTAATATTACAGGGGTTCTCTGCCGGTGATAAAGCTACACAAAGGTAAAGAAAGAGGAAAGACCCTACAAGCAGCAATCGAACCCAGATGGAAGGGACCAGAAAGGGACAAGGAATTGATCAAGGCCGCTTAAGGAGAGAACATTCGTCCGGGCCGACTACTTCGTCGTCGACGAGGAAGGGAGAATGCAAATGATAAGTAAACGTAACGAACTCGAGTTGAGAGAAAGGAACTGGAGGCAAGGTCAAGTGAGAGGTACTTCCGACTCCCGAATTAGTACGAGATGCTGCAAAAGCACCCTAAACGTAAGGTAGTCTTTAGTTTGGACGATAGAGAGGTGTTCTAGTCATCCGAGAAGGACGTAGGATGATGAAGGATAGGGGTCAAAGGTGATAGTGGGTGTGGACGGAGAACGTGGTTGAGGAATAAGCAACGTTCGAGGCATTGTATGAGTGGGGTATCGAGAAGGGTGAGTATCGGGGTTGGGGGTGCGACATCGATAGCAATGGGCAGAGCGTCGAAAACAAGAAAACGATATACAAGAAAGCGATGGGGCGGGCGAAATATGTACAAGAATGTGGGAGATAAGCGGGAGCGGAAGTTGGGAAGTGGTGGCCCGTTCACAGTGTACGAGGGGTGAAGGTGAGCTTGCACTCCATGGCAGCCGGGAAGATCACCTAGAAGCCAGCGTTAGTCATGTGAGATATCAGAATGGGAGAACCACTCACAAAACTATCCTTGATCTCCATACTCTGTTCGTTGGTTTCGGCAGGGGCATGAACGTCAAAGTTCCTCACGATGGCGGCAATGACAATTCGCATCATCATTTGTGCGACATTTTGTCCACCACATACCCGAGTACCGGTACCAAAAGGCATCATGTACTGGGTCATACGAGCCAGGCGGTCTGAACAGCCGGGGGCGTCGTTCTCGAGCCATCGTTCGGGCATGAAAGTCTCAGGAGAAGGGAAGATAGCTGGGTTGCGGTGCATAGACCATGCTTGAGTAGCGACGATGGTTCCGGGAGGGACCTCAAAGCCCATCAGATCGAAGGACTCGTTGACCGCGCCAGACTTGGAAGACGAAGATGGGACGACACGCTCAAGGGGACTGGGAACCGCGGAGTAGACCCGCAGACCTAGGTGTCCATTTAAAATCGCAACTACAGAGCGAGGCAATGAAGATTCGCTCACCTTCTTTGATAAATGCATTGAGGTAGGGCAGTTCTTGTAAAACAGAGATGTCGGGGATAACTCTAGAATCATGCATAGCTTCGTCAAGTTCAGCCTGAAGTTTTTTCGCGATGTCAGAGCGGCGAGTGAGTTCCCAGAGGAAGTAAGATAGCGAGGTTGAGGTGGTATCGGAGCCCGCGATCCTAGGGGGAGTTAGAAGGAGTTCACTGATGATGCAATTTCCAGAGCTCACATATGTCCCATATGTTCAGAGATGATGTCGCTATCGGGCATGTTCTCGTTTGTCGTAGAGTAGCGGTGGTTCAAAAGCCTGTGGAGCATCGGTACCTTCTCAGAAGAGTCTAGCTTGCCTTCGGCGTTCATTTGGGCACGGGTTTGATAGACTCGCTCGCTAACGAACTAAGTAAGATGGTTAGTTCAGAAATCCATCGACAACCAGAGGAGGCATACCTCAGCCATGATCTTGTCTGAGTCGCACATCTGGCGCCACCTAGCGTTAGGGATACGGCAAACAAGGTTCCAGGCCCAAGTTGGAACAACGCTTCTCTATTGAAGTGTGTTAGCTATGGGAATGACTAACAACGGCAATGTCTTACCAAGATACCGCGTTTGGGGAAATCGCTTATAGCAACAGACAGGCGATCTTCAGCCTCCGTCGCCCACTTGCTTACAGCACCGAGACGATAGCCGTACGACGTGGAGACAATAACTTCGACCATGAGGTTTCTGAACAGGGCGAGGCATTCGAGAGGCATCTTCTGGTCCATCTTTTCGAGGTGCTGAAACCACATCATTCATCAATCAACCAACACCATGTCAGGACAAACAGAGAGAACGCACGCTGATCAGCTCTAGTGTTGGCTCGTGCATTTCGGGCTGGAACCGAGCGAGGTTGGTAGGGTTGTAGTGGGGGGCATATCCTTTGCGGCGCATGGAATGGGGTGCATGTTCGAGGGTAGTCATCCTGATACAAGTCAGATCATTCAAAGTTAAGCGCATACAGTCATGAAAAACGTACGCATGGTCGTTTTCGTTGCTACAAGATAGCGGTAGGAATGAGAACGAAAGCTTTGAGGCAAAAGAGAGAGTGACTAACGTGAGGAGACTCTTGTAGTAATCGCTTTTGTCGAATTTGTGAATAGAGTAGACGTTGCGCGCGGTCGAGATATCATTGAAGACAACTTTGTTGGGACCGACGCGAACGACAGGTCCATACTTCTCGAATAGCGAGTCGATAACTTTGCATTGTTCGAGCTTGACGACATGGATCGTCAGCCAGAAGTCGGAGACGGCGGCATACCAGGGGCCAGGGATCGCGCTTAAGGGAGACAAGAAGAGGTTGTAGATGGCGCGGAGGACGGTGTAGGCAATGATAACGAGGAGAGCGGCGAGAACGACGGGGTAGACGACGGAGAACATGGCGGCGAGAGGTGATACGCTGAAAGGAATGTGAGGGGGTCGCGGGGAGATGGTGGAGGAAGGGAAGAAAGAACCGATGGAGAGCTCTTGAACATGTTTCTGGTTTATATATCCTGAATGTCTCTCCTTGAGCAAGTTGAAGATGGACGCACAGATTTGACCGCCGATGTGACCAAATAAACAAACATCCGGATCTATTTGCTTCCGATTGCTCGCCTTCTAAATTTGGCTATTCGAATTCCTTTTAAATCATTTCACGACACGTGCGTACCTTTGCGTCCCTGCTTTTCCCTTCCCATCGCCTTCATTGTGAGTGTTCCCTCGTTTTCGACCTCGATCCTGGTAGCTTCACGGTTCTTCATCGCACAAATCATATTCATCGCCTCGTTTACCTGACAGATCTATTCCAGTAAGATCTCCGAACAGCCTACATTGGCAATCTGACTGATAGACTTTGTATATCCGAAGGTAATAGTAACTAGAATCAGCTCTTCCCGGTTGCCGTATCGTTCCCCTTGCATTCGAAGAAGGTCCGTCTCACACCGTGTTCGTACGGAACCGCTTCTGAAAGCCCACATTATCCGCACAAATATCAACTCACGCCATCCACTTTACCCGATGAACTGTTTCGTCCCACCAATGTCGTTGTGGCCACATGAGATATGAGGCCTCGAAGCCTTTCGTATTCGGTTGGCTGTTCTCTGAATCAGCCGACCGTGGAATATCCGTCAGCGAAAATCTGCAATTAGCCCACCCTAGGTACTCATCATTTAATATTCCTCATTCCTGATGGTAAACCCTGTATGACATTCCAGACCCACGCCTCAATATTTCTTCCCAGATTCCCACAAGAT